GGTTAGGATTATGGTGGGTAATTATCATGTGAAATAAACTAGGCTGGGAATCTTCAGGTGAGACAATGTATATATGTGTGTGTGTGTGTGTGTGTGTGTGAGTGTGTGTGTGTGTGTGTGTGTGTGTGTGTGTGTGTGTGTGTGTGTGTGTGTGTGTGTGTGTGTGTGTGTGTGTGTGTGTGTGTGTGTGTGAGTGTGTGTGTGTGTGTGTGTGTGTGTGTGTGTGTGTGTGTGTGTGTGTGTGTGTGTGTGTGTGTGTGTGTGTGTGTGTGTGTGTGTGTGTGTGTGTGTGTGTGTGTGTATGATGTGTGTGTGTGTGTGTGTGTGTGTGTGTGTGTGTGTGTGTGTGTGTGTGTGTGTGTGTGTGTGTGTGTGTGTGTGTGTGTGTGTGTGTGTGTGTGTGTGTGTGTGTGTGTGTGTGTGTGTGTGTGTGTGTGTGTGTGTGTGTGTGTGTGATGTGTGTGTGGAGTGTGTGTGTGTGTGAGTGTGTGTGTGAGTGTGTGTGTGTGTGTGTGTGTGTGTGTGTGTGTGTGTTTTATGTGTGTGTGTGTGTGTGTGTGTGTGTGTGTGTGTGTGTGTGTGTGTGTGTGTGTGTGTGTGTGTGTGTGTGTGTGTGTGTGTGAGTGTGTGTGTGTATGTGTGTGTGTGTGTGTGTGTGTGTGTGTGTGTGTGTGTGTATGGTCATTTCAAACCAGACATAGAATGTGTGACAGGCCCAAGCAGCACACTGGCCACACACACACACCTCCCCACTCCCTCATTTCTCAATCAAACCAACATGTCATACAGAGAGTCAGTGCTGGTTATAAAATCCGTATGCCATATGCCTCCCCTCCTCAACCCCCTCTCCCCTCCAACCCCCCTCTCCCCATCAGCCCCCTCCTCCCCTCAACCCCCCTCTCTACCCTCAACCCCCTCTCCCCTCCAAACCCCCTCCCCTCAACCCCTCCTCCTCCCCCCCTCTCACCTCCTCCTCCTCTCCTCCCCCTCTCCCCTCACCTCTCTTACCTCAACCCCCCCTCTCTCCCCTCCAACCCCCTCTCTCCTCCTCCTCCTTCAACCCCCCCTCTCCCCTCAACCCCCTCCCTCCCCCCTCTCTCCCCCTCTCCACCTCACCCCCCTCTCCTCCTCAACCCCCCTCTCCTCCACCCCCCTCTCTCCTCCAACCCCTCTCCCCTCCAGCCCCCTCTCTCCCTCAACCCCCTCTCTACCCTCCACCCCTCTCTCCTCACCCCCCTCTCTCCCCTCCAACCCCCCTCTCTCCTCCAACCCCCTCTCTCCCTCCATCTCTCCTCCCCCCTCTCTCCTCCCCTCTCTCCTCACCCCCTCTCCTCCAACCCCCCCCTCTCCTCAACCCCCCTCTCCTCCAACCCCCCCTCTCTCCCTCAACCCCCCTCTCCTCAACCCCCCTCTCTCCTCACCCCCTCTCCCTCAACCCCCTTCTCCCCTCAACCCCCCTCCTCAACCCCCCTCTCCCCTCCAACCCCCCTCTCTCCTCAACCCCCTCTCCCCTCAACCCCTCTCCCTCAACCCCCTCTCCCTCCAACCCCCTCTCTCCTCCAACCCCCTCTCTACCCTCCAACCCCCCTCTCTTCCCTCCAACCCCCTCTCTCCCTCAGCCTCCTCCACCCCTCCTCTCCCTCCCCAACCCCTCTCTCCCTCCACCCCCTCTCTACCCTCCAACCCCCTCTCTCTCCTCACCCCCCTCTACCCTCAACCCCCTCTCTACCCTCCAACCCCCCCTCTCTCCTCCAACCCCCTCTCTACCCTCCCTCTCTCCCTCACCCCCTCTCTCCCTCCAACCCCCCTCTCCCCTCCAACCTCTCTCCCCAACCTCTTCCCTCAACCCTTCTCCCAACCCCCCCTCTCCTCAGCCCCCCTCTCTCCCCTCCACCTCTCTCCCTCAACCTCTCCTCCAACCCCTCCCCCTCCCACTCACCCCCCTCTCCTCCAACCCCCTCTCTCCTCCAACCCCCTCTCTCCCTCCAACCCCTCTCTCCTCAGCCCCCTCTCTCCCCTAGCCCCCTCTCCCCTCCAGCCCCCCTCTCCCTCAACCCCCTCTCTACCCTCCAACCCCCCTCTCTCCTCAACCCCCTCTCTCCCCTCAGCCCCCTTCTCCCCTCCAACCCCCCTCACCCTCCAACCCCCCTCTCTCCCCTCCAACCCCCCTCTCTACCCTCCAACCCCCCTCTCTACCCTCCAGCCCCCCCCTCTCCTCCAACCCCCCTCTACCCTCAACCCCCCTCTCTCCTCCAACCCCCCTCCACCCGGAAATACAATGTGGTACAGTGGTTCTACAATGGTTATACTCAAGGTAGGTGTGTAGTGTTGGTGCAGGTGTGTGTGTTGATACAGGTGTGTAGTGTTAGAACAGGTGTGTAGTGTGAGTGTGAGTGTTAGACAGGTGTGTAGTGTTGAAGACAGGTGTGTAGTGTTGGAGTACAGATGTGTAGTGTTGGAGTGCAGATTAGTGTGGGTACAGGTGTAGTGCGTTATGTTGGAGCAGGTGTCTTAACTATAAGTTGAGTCGTGTAAGTAATAGTATTATGTTGGGTTGGAGGAGGGAAGTGCATTGTGTGTGTGTGTGTGTGTGTGTGTGTGTGTGTGTGTGTGTGTGTGTGTGTGTGTGTGTGGTTTGGGATTGTTAAGACAGACAGACAGACAAACAAGCAAACAAACAAACAAACAAACAACAGAACACGAACAACAGAACAGACAGACAGACAGACACAGGCAGAACGAACCAGACAGACAGACAGACAGGGGTAAACACATAAGCGCTAATTAATATCTCTCTCTCTCTCTCTCTCTCTCTCTCTCTCTCTCTCTCTCTCTCTCTCTCCTCTCTCTCTCTCTCCCACCACACCAGCACCACCTCAGTTACCACACCACCATAATTACCACCACACCATTACAATACCGCAGTCACCACACCACTACCACACACCTACACCACTACCACACCACTATCTACCACACCACTACCACACACCTACACCACAACCACACCACTATCTACCACACCACTACCACACCACTATCTACCACACCACTACCACACACACACCACACACACCCACACCACAGGAGAAGGAGTTGCTTTAATAGGATTCAGAAGCCCTTCAGCTCACAATACTCAACAAATACACCCACTACACCACCCACCCTCTACACACCCACCCTCTACACCCACCCACACCTCCCCCCACTCCACACACCTCCACACTCCCTACACCTCTACACCCACCCTCACACCCACTACACCCCCCCACCTACACCCTCCACCACACACCCTCCACCCACTACACTTACCCCACCCACCCACTACACCCACCCTCCCCACTACACCCACCCTCCACACACTACACCCACCCACCCTACCCCACCCTCCACCCACTACACCCACCCTCCCTACTACACCCACCCATCAAACTACCCACTGCCACCTCCCACCCACTCCCACCCTCCACCCACTACACCCACCCTCTGCCACTCCACCCACCGCCCATAAAACTACCCTCTACACCCACCCCCACCCACTGCACCCACCCTCTACACCCACCCTCCACCCGCCACCATAACTACCCACTACACCCCTACCCTCCCACCCACTACACCCACCCATCAACCTTCTCTACACCCCACCCTACCACCCTACACCCTCCCACCTACTACACCACCATCAAACTACCCACTACACCCACCCTCCCACCCACTACACCCACCCATCAAACTCACTACCCCACCCTCCACCCTCATCAAACTACCCACCCAACCTCCCACCTTCACACCCACCCTCCACTCACTACACCCACCCATCAAACTACACCCAACTCCCACCTTCTCACCCACCCTCCACCCCTTCACAGCCACCCTCCCACCCCTAAACCCACTCACTACACCCACCCTCCCACCCACTACACCCACCTCCACCCACTAAACCCACCCTCCACCCACCCATCAAATACCACTTCCTCCCCACTACATCCACCCTCTACCTACCCCTCCACCCACTAAACCACTCACTACACCCACCCTCCCACCCACTACACCCACCCTCCCACCCACTACCACCCTCCCCACTACAGCCACCCCACCTACCATCCCACCCACTACACCCTCACTAAACCCACCTCCACCCACCACCACTACACCTACCATCCACCACGCCACCCACCCTTCACCCACTCACTAAACCCACCCTCCACCTACAGACTTCCACCTCCCACTACACCCACTCACTAAACCCACCCTCCCACCTCCCACTCACTACACCCCTACACAAACCCTCCCACCCACTACTACCCACCCTCCCACCACTACACCCACCCACACCCTCCACCCACCACCCATCTCCCACCCACTACCCACCCTCCACCCACTACACCCCCCACCCCAACCACCCACTACACCCACTACACACACCTACCCACCACCCACTACCCACCCTCCCACCCACTACACCCCACCACCACACCCACTACACCCACCCATCCTGCCACCACTACACCCACCCACCCACCCACCCTACCACCCACTACACCCACCCACTACACACACCCACCCACCCACTACACCCCACCCTCCCACCCACTACACCCACTCTCCGACAGTCTTTAGATTCTGCTCCAACTCTCATTTAAAACCCTAAAATTTACACCTAAAACAACAAAACACCAGCCCTAAACCCACCCACACCACCCAAAAACCCAGCCCTAAGACCCTCAAAAACACCTGCCCTAAAGACCCTCCCCAAACACCCCAAACCCCTCCAAAACACCTGCCTAGACCCTCCTCCAAAAAACACCTGCCCTAAAGACCTCCCTCCTCCAAAACAACCTGCCTAAAGACCCCTCAAAAACACCAGCCCTAAGACCCCTCAAAAACAACCTGCCGTCAGCCCCAAAAACAACCTGCCTCTAAGACCCTCTCAAGCTGCCCTAAGACCCCCTCAAAAACACCTGCCCTAAAGACCCCCTCCAAAACTCTAAGACCCCTACCTGGTGTGACTCGACGGAGGTTCTCGGCTCCCTCTTTAATCTTGAGTTCTTTCCGTATCTCCTTCCGGATGTGTTCACGCAGTTCCTCCAACTTCTGGCCCAATGTGGCCTCCCCGAGCTCCGCCTGCAGCCCATACTTGTGGGTCAGCTCCTGGATAATGGGCAGACCCTGGTGGAGGGAGGAGAGGAGGAGAAACGGTGTTAATATATCATTTAGGAGTGGAGGTGTTTATTTAACTTTAAAGACAGGTACAAGGTTTGAAAGAGGAGGGCCTCAAACAAGTGCAATGGCCTCAAAGAAGAAGTCAAAGGGCAAAGACAGGTACAACGGCCTCAAAGACAGGTACAAGGGGCTCAAAAATAGTTACAAAGGCCTCAAAGACAGGTACAAGGCTCAAAATAGGTACAAGGGCCTCAAAGACAGGTCCTAGGGGCCTCAAAGACAGTACAAGGGCCTCAAAGACAGGTACAAGGGCTAACAAATAAAGAGTACAAGGCTCAAAGACAGGTACAAAGGGCCTCCAAGAAAAGACAGTACAAGGGCTCAAAAAAAGGTACAAGGCCTCAAGAGACAAGGCTCAATGACAGTCAGGGCTCAAAGATAGGTACAAGGGCCTCAAAGACAGGTAAAGGGCCTCCAAAGACAATTACAAGACCTCAAAAAAGACAGTACAAGGGCCTCAAAGACAATACAAGGGCCTCAAAAGACAGGTACGGGGCTCAAAATGGTACAAGAGCCTCAATGACAGTACAGGGCCTCAAAGACAGGTACAAGGGCCTCAAAGACAGTACAAGGGCCTCAATGACAAATTACAAAACCTGTGCTCAGTGCTCAATGATCCTGGCAATTCAAGTACCAACAACAACAATAATAGTGCTAATAATAATAATAATAATAAACAACTTCCCCAAAACAAACAAACTGTGCTCGCTAACTGTTACCATGGCAAAGTAAACCAACACTTTTTGTTTTCTTGTTTTTTTGAATTAGCCCACCGGGTACAGGTCAAACGACCTCAACGGGGCCTGGGCAGACAAGAACAGAAAGAAATAGAGAACAAAAAGGTTATACTGTGTTAATGTACACCACGAAGATGAGGAACCAACCTTTTAAAAGTGAGACAGATTTGAAAGTATGGAAACACAGAAGAAGGCAGAGCATTCCACAGTGTGAGGAGATGTACTATAACGGGTTATTATAGTGTGACCGACATCCACAGAAGCAGTGGGCACCACGAGCAAGACGTGTGTTACGAGCCCATGGCCTTGCCAGCGGTACACAGTGCCAAATCCACCGAACATTGCCCTTAAGTACCTGTAAAGAGTGAAGCAACATTGTGAAGAGGGAAGAGATTGTCGACGGGAGGTAATAAGACGAAATGCCTTTGATTCCACCTATCTAACAGAAGAAGAGCCACCCCAGATATGAGAGCAGTACTCCAAGTTAGGACGAATGAATTATATACTTGAAGCAACTGCTCAGGAGATGTAGATAGCTGCGCAGCTGTACAGCATTCACAACTATCGGAGGCAGCAGCAATGTGACTGCGGCATAATAGAGAAATGGTGAGGCCTAGCATATCTCTTTTTAGAATTTGGCAGAATGATAGCGTCCTGAAATGTAATTGGTGGAGATCATCTAATTTGGAAAGTATTAGTAAATAGTTTTATTACTATTGAATTTAACCAAGTATGCCTCCCCATTCAGAGATGCTGCACAGATCATTGATAGAAGTAATGATATCAGCTCTAGAAACAGATCTAGTTTGATTGGGAGGAAGGGAAAATATGAAGAAGTCTATACTAGAAAATAAAATAGTCACCGTTGCAGACTATCCCATCTCCCCGTTTTCTCTTTCCACCGAAGATTCTGCATTATCACCACCGTGGTAGTTGGTTAATTCTGGTTCTATTTCCACCAAATTTGAACCATATGGAGTTTGTCACATGTGGTTTAAATTAGTTGAATTAGTGTAAATTTGTTCATCTATTGCTAAGTTATTTTAGGAACAGACAGACAAGCGGACAGGATTAAATAAGAACAAACTACAACGGTTTTATCTAGAAAGAGTTAAACAGTTTAACTTGACCCAGCACACACACACACACACACACACACACACACACACACACACACACACACACACGCAACATCCCAGCACTAATCTGTACAACAACAACTACCACCCCGTAACAACTATCCCCGTCGTACATAACAACCATCAACCACAATCACTAACATCCTCTATTACCACCAAACACCACGCTACCACCATCAACCACCACCACCACTGCACCACAATCCACCACACTACCACAATCTCTTCCTCGCCACTACCATCATCACCCTACCCCCACCGCACTAACACCACAACCACCACACTGACCACACCACTACCACTGACACACCACTACCACGACCACACCACTACCACCACACTGACCACAACACAACCACCACACTGACCACCACTACCACTGACCACATCACTACCACTGACCACACCACAACCACACCCTGACATGATATATACATTTAAATCCGCTCAGGTGACCACATCTTTATCACCTGTCCAAAATAATGAGCCATCGCCACCTGTTGCGCACACCTGCACCATACACCACCACTATACACCTGCACCATGCACCCACTACACCTGTACATCAGACATAGGAAACATACATATCCCACCATTCAAATCGGTGTTAAAAAAATCATACATACGTGTTCAAAATAATACAGTCATTGTATTTTAACCTAAATTCTATCATCCATACATTATACACTTCCGCTGGTAACTGCATGACTGATCAGAACAAGTGCTGGCTAATACTGTGTAACCCTGGTGTGTGTGTGTGTGTGTGTGTGTGTGTGTGTGTGTGTGTGGGAGGAGGGGGTGAGGGCTGGGTTATATCCGCTCGAATTACATGTGTGTGTGTGTGTGTGTGTGTGTGTGTGTGTGTGTGTGTCTCTCTAATTGTACACAAAGGGCATTAAAGTGCTAAGACAACAAGTAGAAATATCCACACATACTTGTTCATATCCTCAACTTATCCACACACACAATGAATCACAATATCCACAATCTATGGACCACATTTCGTATCAATTCGTTCGTCAAGTGTTTGTTCGTTATGTCCGTTCGTTATGTCTGTCCGTTGCTGCCTGTCTGTCTGTTGCTGCCCGTTCGTCAAGTGTTCGTCCGTTAAGTGTTCGCTCGCCAAGTGTTCGTTCGTCAAGTGTTCGTTCGTCGTTCGTCCGTTGCTGTCTGTTCGTTGCTGCCTGTCTGGATTTCACACTAGAAAGCTTTTTGTTATATCTAAAACGCCAATAGACAAAAGTTTTCTACGACAGAACGTTTGAGCACCTGTCACTTTCTCGCCTTGGAACTTCTCTCTGTCTGTCTGTCTCTGTTCGTCTGTTTCTCTCCTCTGTCTGATTCTCTCTGTCTGCTCCCTCTCTCTCTGTCTGTCCTGTCTGTCTGTCTGTTTCTCCTCTCTCTGTCTGTCTCTTCGTCTCTTTCTCTCCTCTCTGTCTGTCTGATTCTCTCTCTCTGTCTGTCTGTTTCTCTCTCTGTCTGTCTGTCTGATTCTCTCTCTCTCTCTCCACTCTGTGTCTGTCTGTCTATTCTTTTGCTGTCTCCTTTGCTGTCCTGTCTGTCTGGAGGCTTCTGTACCCATTGTCTTGTCTCTGAGGGTTGGCGACCACTACCCACCACCTTTCACTATCCACCCACTCACCATCCACCATCCAGTCTGTGTCTGTCTTCCCCTGGCCCTCCTACCCACACACACACACACACACACACACACACACACACACACACACACACACACACACAGACAGACAGACAGACAGACAGACACACACAGAAAGAAGAAAGTGGGCGTTCCGCTTGCCTTGTTGTAGTGTTCGTGACGTCATCAACATACTTGTGATGTCGGAGAAGAGATGGCACACACACACACACACACACACACACACACACAGACACCGCTAACAGGCTCGTCAGCTTAAGTGAGTAACAGGAACTACCCCACCCCCTCCTGCAAGCGATACACTATTGAGATCAGACAAATACTTTTCTGTTAGGTTAGGTTAGGTCTCTCCCCCCAGGTTACCCATACAAAGACAAAACTGGTTATAAATTTATGATATATGGAGGATTACATTGGCTATCGAACTGGTCCTAGATGATATTAGGTTATATCCATCTACCAAGTTTCACTGTTATCTGGTTCAATTTGGTTGGTTATCATGTGGACAAGATAACAGACAAAAATGGTTATAACTTCGTGATATATGGAGTGATTACATTGGCTATCGAACTGGTCCTAGATGATATTAGGTTATATCCATCTAACAAGTTTCACTGTTATCTGGTTCGATTCACTCAAGATATCGCATGGACAAGATAGAGTGAAATACATGCACGCACTCACGCACCTAAGAGAAACCCCACCACCACCACCAACAACAGCGCTTACATTTACAAAATAATTTCAGCCAATCACAGCTCTGACAAGTAGAGCCAATCACAGCTGTGACAAGTAAGCCAATCACAGCCTGACCAGTAAACCAATCACAGCTCTGACAAATAGCCAATCACAGCTCTGACAAGTAAGCCAATCACAGCCCTGACCAGTAAACCAATCACAGCTCTGACAAATAAGCCAATCACAGCCCTGACAATGTAAGCCAATCACAGCCCTGACAAGTAAGCCAATCACAGCCCTGACAAGTAAGCCAATCACAGCCCTGACAAGTAAGCCAATCACAGCTCAGACAGTAGAAAGTTAGAAAGTTAATATGCAGGAAGAAATGCGATGACTTGGATGTAAAGCGGGTGATTGATGGATGGGTGAGGCGACCGTGATCTGGGTGAGTCATCCGTACCAGAGTTATCCGTGACAGTCATCCATACCAGTCACCCGTACCAATCATCCATAGCAGTCATCCATCAACTTGCATGTAGAGGAATCCCAGATAACAGTTTTAACTCATCCAAACAGTTAATGAGAGACAGTTATAATGACCACCCGCTGACAGAAGAGTGTATGTAGCTAAACTGTCTAAATCGGTCCAGACAGTCAGACAAACAGTCTAAATCGGCCAAGACAGTCAGGGAACTGTCTAAATCGGTCCAGACAGTCAGAAAAAGTCTAAAT